GAAAATCAAGCCTTTTCTGTGTCTTGTCTTTGTAGTACAGGAAAACGCCTAGAAACTTTTAAGGCCCTCTCGAATATCAAACTATCCATTGCAGGATGGCCCTACGACCCTAAATATGTTTAACTGCAATTAAAATAAACTTTTAACTTTTTGAAACAATGCTAATTAATTTCTAAGATTTTTATTAACCCGTAAGGAAAGTTAAGTAACTGTTAGCCAGCAGAATCCAAAATGTTTTCAAATATTAACCGTTATTAGCTGTAAAAGCCACCACCCCGTTGAGACCCTCTTACACACCCCAATAAAATACCTTCCCTGTAAACATACGTGTGACATTAAGACATTGCCATTTCCCGCCATTTCCCACGTCCTTGTTGCATTGACCGCTGGGCCGACGGAGACAAGCTGAACCTGCCCTGTCTGGTTACAAGTGTAACTATTCACAACAGAGGCCACGGCCGGCCGTATAAACACGTATGAAAAGCAGCGTCTAGTTTCCTGTTATCATAAGCATACCAGCAAGTGCAGAGAGAGAGGCGATAGGCAAAGTGCTACGACCAAGGCCACGAAGCAGGGGGAAAAAAATCGCTCCCCAGATCCCACGCGCGGTGATAATGCGCCCACTACCGCATTGAGCATTGCGACTGGGAACCAGTTCACCAAAGATGGCTGCCATGTGTTGCACCACATACAGTAATGCATTATTTGCGTATTTCTGCCGGTAGAAGAGGTCTTTTTCATCGACTCCTTGTTATCATAACAAAAATGCAAGCATCTGGAGAAAGCGCCTCCAACGCAAGCCCATCTAGGATGAGAGATGACTCCAATTTGTGTATGAATCCCGGCGAAACCACCGGTGTAAACCGAAACAGATTTCTCGAGCGATTCAAGGAGGACAATCGATCGAGCTTATATTCCTACATTGGAACAGTAGGGATTTCTCTGCTGGTATTTCTACGATGGTTTCTTGGTCTTGTTTTTCTTGGTCCAGCGCAACATGTGTGGAGAACGTTTGATCGCAATTTGTTATCAAGAAATGTATCAAAGACCACTCGTGTTTTTGTAGTTGACAGTGTTTCGTCGTGTGACAAACTTCTGCGGTCCTACCGATCAAGTTATCCTTTTAAATGGAATTTCCTTGGAATGGACTGCGAGTGGGTGAACAAGAAAGGTCACATAAACACTCCTGTTGCTTTGTTACAAATAGCAACACCCCTGAGCGATTGCTTTCTTGTTCGATTGTGTAAAATGAACGGTCACCTACCACAGACTGTCAGAGAAATCTTGGAGGATAAGAGCATTCTTAAATTTGGTGTCGGCATTAAGGAGGATGCAAAGAGACTGATTGGAATGTTTGGAGTTCAGGTGATGGGTTGTGTGGATCTGAGGCATGTGGTAGAGCGGTGCCAAGTTGATGAGACTGTTCAGGCAAGGTACATGTTAAAGATAATCTGTTACCATCTGAGGCATCAGGAGGACTATGGTGGGGAGAGGGTGGCATGGTTAGGGGTGGGGACCCCTACCCTACCCTCCAGGATAGCTTATTTTGTGAGATTGCCCTAACGATTTATACCCTCCATGGTTGAGAGAGGCATTGTGATTGAGTCACAGAGTCAAAGTCAAGCCCTAGAACATGTAGCTTGCAAATGCAGACTATTTGCAGCTGTCACGTGGGTCAGCCGAAAATAACGTCTGCAAACCCAAGTAGGAGATTGATTTCAGTAACATCAAAACTTTTGTTTTGTTTTTGACCAGTAAAATTCCCCAGTAGAATATGACACTCGTGTAAATGTGTGTCGATGCCAGCAGGAAGTGGGAACAGGTGGTAATTTTAGGACGTGAAATTTGTTCACATTGAGCGCGGGTGAAACACCGAAGAAGATCTCGACCTCCAAGGTTTGTTTGCCATGCAAAGAAAAAGTTTCCAGTGAAGAGAAGATAAAATTGTTTTGAAAAAGTACTCTGAAGTCTGCATTCAATGAAAGTCGATCGGTCTGTTTGCCATGGGAGGGATCTTGTTGCTGGCGTTTGCTGTGTCTGCTTTGCTAGAGGAGATCTTTAGACAGAGTAGCAGAAATCAAAAGCAAAATCAAACGAGATTTCAAAAATGATGGCTTTTAAAAAACTTGGGAGCTAGGACAAATGCCAAGGGCAAATGTAAACAATTGAATGGCTTAGTGCAAGACTGACATAAGTGACTTTTTGGGGTGAAAAATGATTTTTTTGTTCAAAAGTGCCCAAATTTTTGCATGTGGTCTCCAACGTAATAGGAGAACATTGTCCTGTGTTTGTATTCCTTGTTTTTTTCGCCTGATGTACAAAACAAAGTGGAAAGTTTACTCGCTCAAAGACGGGATCTGGAAATAAATTTCTTCAACTACGTTGTGACGTAAGCTTGCATTTGCATTATTTTGGCGCGCAAGACAACGTCAAGCTTTTGATCAGACAAGTTGAAACCTCACCT